GATTAAGCCAAGTTTGTTTTGATTTGCTTATTCTTGTAGGGGGGAATTTAAAATTTTTAAAATTTGGTCATCTTTGTGACGTAGTGTTGCTTGTTTGTTTTTTGGTCATCTATGTGACGTACGTCGTGTTTATCATTTGTAACTAATCTATGTTGTTATTCAAATAATTTTTGGTTTTCTTTGTAGTTTACATACGAACAAATCTTTCTGTCGACTCTTAGACCATTTTTCTTTGGCTTTGTAAATTTTATTTGCCTTCATGGTTTTTTTTCTTGCGTTAATTAACTATCAAAATTCAAAATGGTGAAAAAATTGCTATAAACTCGAGGAAATCCTAACCTCAGACTAGGTGTTGACTCAGCCATGGCTGATGCACACTGAGATTTTAGGGTTCATAAGTATAAGATGCGGGTAAATGTAAATGATTCATTCATTTATTGTGATATCTAATTGTTATATGCGATTTCGAGATCTAAATAGATACGTTTTAGTTGTGATTGCGAGTATGAGACCCACGTTGATGTGTTTTTGTTGTGATCCGCAAATATGAGACCCACGTACATTGTTGTGTTTTGTCTTGATACGCAAGGAAGCTCGACTCCTAGGGCTTTTGATAGTCTCCGCTACGAGCCATCTATTTGTGGACCCTAGAAAACACGATAGGCAAGGGACATGTGCAAAAGGAGACACGCATATTATGGCTGAGACGTGATCATCACGCTGTGACTCAGTGAGATGAAACTACACAAGTCATTCTCCAAGAAGAGACAATTCAGCCGCCGACTAGTTTGGCAGATTTGAAATATGGAAGTTAAACATAGCTCCTATGTTATGGTCCACGTATCTAACACTTTCTCTGGAGAAGTTGATCACGTAGCCGCTGCAAATTACTAATGTTTTCTATAGATGTATGGTGTTGCTCGAATATACTATTTGAAGGCGGCGTATGACAATTTGGATGACAGTATGAGAATTTGTGAATGCTTTCTCGATTCAATCCATTTGCGAATTTTTCCATTTTGGATTATAGAAAATTTGGATGAGAAATCGTGTACAATACTGAATTCATTGAAAAAATGAAGCATACGTGTAGTGTAATTAAAGAAAGCCCATGCTTTACGGTACCGTCGATTTAAAATGGCTAATTAAGTTTATATATCGTCATCCGTTTACAAATTAATAAACTGAGCTAGATGATGTTTAAGAAAGGAAGACTATTCAAAGTCTTCTTCTCTTCTCCATCAAAATAATTGGGGGGAGGGGGCACATTCCATCAAGGAAGAACCGAGGAATGGATTGAGAAGACTGATTTGACAGTACAATTTGTTATCTGTTCTGGTCGGAAATAGCAAAGTTGAAGAGAAGACTTGACTTAGAATGTCAAGTTGTTCACTAATTGAACCAAAACTTTGTGTGGGAGAAAAGATTAATTAGCTTAATTAAACTTAATTAAAACTTACCGTGACAATGGGTTTCCTTGTACTTACAAAACATAGCTTAACTCAAGAGTTACATTGTCCACATAGGTTTTTAAAACGTTTTATGCTTCTATGGCTGTAGTTTTATCACACATTAATAGATGTAAGGACTGTTTATAGGTTTCATCAAGTGGGTTTGATAAATTATGACAATCAAAATGTATATAGAAAAATATTGTTTGGTATTGGGTTTCTCTAAGTCTTTCCCAACCAAAAAGGTAGAGAGAATTCACTTGCACCTACTCAGATAAGATGACATGTGACCAAGCAAATGCATGTAAAAGAAACACATGACCTGAGATGATGATCCAGAGTAGCAGTTAAAGAGCTCGAGCAACGATCTCTCTCGCTCATCACCTGCAAAAAGAAGGTGACATCATTTTGGGATAAAGTGGGTTCTATGCTTCTTCCATCACCGACAAAGTTTTGTTCATATGAAACTTTCTTTGACTAAATCCCTAAATTCCAAAATAAACAAAGTTTTGTCTATTGGGGATAATTATGAATTCCAAATTTCATCATCATTTGTCATAAAGATTATTTATCACTAAATCCTTGAATTCCAATTTTTTTTGCAAATTCAATAAATTAAGACAAGATGTTTAGGTTCGATTGTTCATAAAATCACTAAGCCAAATTTCTTTGCAAATAGTTG